GTATCAAAACTAAGAGGAAATCATGGTAATGAATGCACAAAAAGGTCTGAAATGAAATTAAAATTAAAAGCAGTTTAGCTGTTTGTACATTTTTACCTCACAATTTTATGTCACCAAAGTTCTTTTGTTTGAAAAAGCAACAGGAGCCTGAAAAATATTTTTTTATAAAATCATACGTTTAGAATTCAATGGCATTTTTATTTCTGTGCTTCCATGTTCCTATATATTCAGAGGATCATTCACTGCCATTGAAGCAGTGTTGCAGGTGAAGGAAGTTCATCTCCATTTTCACAGGTTTCGAATGTATATAAGAATTAGAAAGAGCCTATACAGTCTCTTAGTTATGTAGGTGATTAGATTATGCCAAAAAGGAACTATCTAGGTTGAAGAACTTGGGTTGAAAGGTAGGTACATTAATACTCTTACTACATAAATGGGATATGAGTATAATGATGTGCTTCAGAAAAGATAGGCTAGAACTGTACTTGAATGTGTTCCTGCAAAAATGTGCTGATAGGCCAGGTCTAGCAAAAAATGTGAGGGTCTACAAAAAAAAAAGAACTAATAAGATGGTGAGGTGAAGCATATTTTCCAGGAGTTTGTTATTGACACGGACATTCTTTATTTATTCAGCAAATAGTAAAATCAGCAAAAAATATTGTTTGGTTGTCCTGAAACTATTTGTGAATTCAAATCTGATTCATCAAACAAATAGTTTTGTCTAGACTCTTTTTCCAGGTCATTTATCCAACAGCCGAGACAATCACCCAGGATGTTGGAAATCCAAGTTCAGTTCCTTCCTCTGTATAATTGACATAACATTATGCATTTTCCAGTTGAGTGACCTAACTACCAGCCAAGAGAGTCATTCCCATACTTAGTCTCTCTTGAACACTTAACTATTTTATACACATTACATCAGTTCCAACAGGAAGGACTGAGAGAGACCTACCTCAGAAACTTCGTATAATTCAGTGGTGATGACCTTGTGTAGAAGGTGGGAGACCACCTTCCAATTTAATCTCTCTGCTGGATCCAGGGCAGGAATTTGCACCAAGTTCTTGTACCTCTTTGCAGAGGGTCCTAACAAATCAAAATTTTTTGGATTTTGAATTTTGTACAGTGTGGCAGGGTTCCTGCCACTTTAAGGGCTGGAGCAGGGCAGCAGCCAAGTGCTTGAGTACAGCGGCCATTTTGAGAACCAGAATACATACAGGGTGAAGCAACAGTTTACTGCTGGCAGCTAAGAGAGAGATGTCAGCCAGCAGAGAAGAGGCTCAGCTTGGAGATAAGGACAGGAGCTTATGGGGATGGTTTGGAGGCTCATGGTCCTGGGCATTACCTAAAACTACACCCTGCCAGGGATGAGTGGCCGGGTGGGGCTTCTGGTGGTGTAGGAGCCCCCAGAAAATGCCAGGCCAGGTTACCACCCTGGTGAAAGGCTGCTTGGGGCACCTTAATAACCCCAGACCCCACAACTGGGTGGGTAACCCTGTAGTAGAGCCCAAGAAGGCAGACCTATGTAAGAGAGTGTAGGCTAGTTGCTCAAAGCAACTAGCCTACACTCTTCTTTGAGAAGATCATCAAGGAGCACATTTGTGATGGGCCGGCATCAGAAATGATGCTCAGGGGCAATCAGCATGGATTTATTAGGGGGAGATCATGTCAGACCAACCTGATTGCCTTCTACGATCAGGTCACAAAGGCCATGGATGCAGGTGTCGCGGTGGATGTAGTCTTTCTGGACTTCAGCAAGGCCTTTGACACCGTCTCTCACCCC